CTGGTTATGACATCTATGCTATAAGCTCCAAAGATCCTGAGGAAATGGAGGAGATGCACAAAAGAGAAACACATCAAGCACAGTAGACCACCAAGACACAGAGCTTCTCCTCGATAAATGGCTTCCTAAAAGAAGAATTAAATTTTTTTCCACTCCCTTCCCCCAGGTTATCCATTCTCCCCCCCCCCCCCCCCCCCGCTGCACACAGACCGTGAGTGCCTTTTTCAATGGCTTCATCTTTTGAAACATATAATTAGAAGCTCAATCAAATATTGTAACATCCTCTAATTGCATAATAGCACAGCACACCTTCTTGTTTGGTTTCGTTAAAAATTCATTAACGGGTGTATATGTGTGTGGGAGGGGGGTATACATATATGTGTGTGTATCACTCCAACTTGATGTTTTCCTTTTACTTATTTGTCATGAAAAGGACTTGAATTATATCCGCCCTACCTATATCTACGGAATGGGTACAACAGAAGAGCTCTGCCCCAGAAAAAGAGCCTTGCCATTAATTTTCCTGAATGCTAGAAAGTTCAAAGGCAAATGACAATAGGTCTTGACCAGAGGGACAACTATAAAATTGAATGCTTCCCTCCAGACCCCCAAAAGACTCACTCTTTTACTTCTAGGGCTTCGTTGTTTTCCCCTCTCTTCTGAACATGCCTCAACAAGAGCTCCCTGTAATGGGTGATAATGAGAAACATCTGAAAAGCAAGTCAAGTCAAAGATCATGAAGGTACTATGCCTATCTGCCAACCCTCTGGACAAACTGTATGGAATGGCCACTTGTCATCTGCTTCGCATTGTCAAATGATCTACTCCTACAAAATCACAGGGACAATCCTGAGGTTACTTCCTTTAATGGAGATGACCTCAAAGACTCTTGATAGAGATCTGTTACGGCTTAACACAACTTTAGCCATCACTTTTGTGGGGGTAATCTGAGTAACTCAAGAGAAGTAGAACATCCATCTGCTTTTCAAATAATAATTGAAGAGCAGGGGAGAATACAGGGTTAGCTGGATTCAGGCCTTACCTCCTTCAACCTCCCACTGGAATCCACTTCCATTGGTCATCCTTGGCCATAATTATTGTACTGTCCACCTCTCTCCTCAAAACAAAGTCCTCAGGAACCCAAGATATTTGTAAAACAGGAACTTAATTATAGCTGTAGTTCTCAATCCAGGCCTTTTTTTTTTTTAATGTACCTCCTACCATTGTCTAAAGGGAGTCTTTGGCCCTCCTTCTAAACTCACTCTCAACTTTACAGTACATTATTCACAGCAGCTTCCCCAGTGGATACCCACCTGGCAGTTAGTAAAATGGGTCTGGAATCTTTGACTAAGGTGGCTTTAATGATGATAGGATCCAGAGTGGCCACAGTTGGCTGCCAGGCATCCAAGATTCTGCGAAAAAGAAAATTAAATCAATCATCCTTTGGTTATGAATGGGTGTTCAGCATTCTTTCTCATCCCTAGCAAAGCCATAGGAAATTATGTGAAAGATCAATCATTGCAGAACAAATCATCCAAAATAGATCATCCCTACTGTCTAATTTGCATAATTTATAAGGGATCCAGAATATTGATTGAGCTACATTTTTTTTTTAATTTTTCCTTCTGAGCCTTGAGAATGAACTCCCTTGGGCATAAGAACACCGTTTTGGTATCTGCAGAACAAAAGTAAGATAATGCACGATTCTTCTTTTTGGTATGCTAAATTTCTAGAAGCGTTGGATAAAAATGAAGAGGCCCTCTTGATGAAATGCCTTGCAGTCCCACAGAACTAAATGAAAGATGAAAATAAGCACCATTTGGATCCTTTGCAAGTACAGTGGTACC